TGGAGGTGGTGGGCGAGGCGCTGTTGTCCGCCCGCCACGGTGTTCTTCGCCTTGCCTGCGGCTCGAGCAGTCGAAGTAGAGCAGCCCCAGAAGCCACGCCCAAGTATCCCGATTCACGTTCATTCACGCTCAGGGACGCCATGCCATCCGATAACGGCGTATCCTCCACGGCACCGTCGCCGCCTGTGTCGGGGGAAAGGGAATATGCTCTAGCAGAGTCATTCTCGTTCCATTCAAAGTCCTCGAGGGGAGGCCTTTCCAGCATTCGCTGGTGGTCGGGGTCTACATGTCGATGCTCCATCCTTCCCTGTCGAGGTGAGACGGATGAAGCCGTTGCCGTATGTTCCGCAACATCCTTCACAGGAGACCCGTCAGGTTCGGGATCCGATTTGGCTTCCACCGCATCGGAGAAATTGAATGATGGGTGATCGCCATCTCGAACGTGGTACGCACCAGCGGCAGTGCCCTGTTTCTCCCATGTTCTTGACTGAGGAGGAATCAAGCTACGCATCTGCCTCAAGAGGGCTTCGGCTCTCTCCAGACGTGCCTCTACTTCTGTGAGATGTCTACGAGGTATCCGTCAGCATGCGCTCACAAGAACAGGGTTCAGATCTGGGAAGGCTGACTTGCGCGTGAGTGGCGTTCGTGAATGCTTTTCGTAGAGACAGTGCCTGCGATACTTGACGCACAAATCGCAGGTGGGCAGGGCTCGATTGCATCGTGCCTTGCGTCTCCTACATTCCTTGCACGCCTGGTCAGAAGATCCGATAAAGTTCATGCTGAGAATGGGATCGTCATCGAAGCCATCAGCCGGCGCGGGCGGATTGTTCGCTGGCCCAGCACAGTCCCTAGAGACCTGCTGCGATGAAGCAGACGATTGCATATCGCCGACCCCCTGCTGGGATATTTCAAATACCAGCTGCGTTGCTCAAAGCCGTTCGCAGGTTGAGCATACCGAAAATCTTCATCGGCAAGGAACCGGCCTCTAGTTGTCGTTGGCTCGTTTTCAACTGCGGAGACGAATAAAGTGGTGTCGGGCAATTGACTAAATCTGCACCCTCGGTTATAGAGTTACACCCAGACCCAACCTTCCTTTGCTTGTTGCTAATTGGAGTGAGTTGTGGGTGGTGGCTTGATTACACCCCTGGTGTGTTGGTCCAAGACTCGCGCATGTCTAGGGCATAACTAGCGACTAGAGATCTATTCAGCTAGTTCCTCAGCTCTGATTGGGGTCGACGTTCGATTGCTTGTAAGTTGCTGGTCCTGTCATTGAAGACGGCGCTGGCAATTACCGAGCGCATCGAGCCGGTCGCTGTCTGGGGATTCAACACGGCTGTAAGTTGAGACGCCTACATTGATGGATGGTTCAGTTCCTATAGCAGCTCTCCGGCGTTTTAACAAGACCACCGAGCTTGTCGACTTGGCTTCCCGCTCATTTTGGATAGAATGAGAAATCTCTGTGAGTTTGAGACTTACCAGAGGACCACGCCAAATGTTTATCTTCTCATCAAATTGATCCGTCATTTCATGCCATGCTGAGGCGTGTGTGCCTGGGTTGTCCGAGCCTAGAGGGACTCCGGCAATCGACATTCCATAGCAACGCAGAACAATTTACATAGAATACAACTAGCCCATACAGACATGGTCAGACCTCCATCATCTGTAGCCTTTCCCGCACTACCATGCTTACTCATAATGGCCATCAAGTGCCATGCAAGTGCTCATCTAGTCATACACGGGGCCCCAAGAGCCACTGCGGGAACCAAGGAATCCGGGGAAACATGCATATCAAAGCCCGCCACGGAGTGGTCTATGGGAACACAGGTAGCGTGGTATCTCTGAGTGAAAGGGTGACAGTCACCCTGGCCCGACTCGTATTGCAGGCGATGATCCCAGCATCTGGAAGCTAGGCGATTTATCCCAAAATAAATCACACTACCACAGTGGCGTTTGCTGCCACCTATTTTCCTTTGTAATAGAGAGTAAATACTGCCGCCACGGCCGTTTATATTTCATCCTTAAATATTCCCTGCTGAGACCGGGGACTCCTGTGACAAGAGCTACCGTCGGGTTAGCAACCAGGGCCAAGCGTACAGAGGGCCAACATGGACGGGGGCTGCCTCAAGATGTAGTTGTATCAAAACCGTCGAAATTATGGAAAAGGAGGGTGAGTTGATGTGTTGGGGCCGACTCAGATGGGAGTTGCTTACATGGGTAAAAATGTGTGGGAGTAACAGCCCCGTGCGACCAACAAAGCAAAACAAATAATACTAAACCAGACGCCATGTATAAGCATAGACAGAGTCTCCAAGATGGTCCATTATGCGCTCGAGTGCGACTGCAGTCCTACTAAGCGAGGATTCTCAGTTGGGCGCCGACTCCTCGGCGCTGTCAATCAAGACATCATACCGCCCAAAGCTGTGCGCCATCACATACTCCCCATTGACCATGTCGTTGTTCTCGGCCCTCATAATGGCATTCTCCATCGACTCTTCAATACCGGCGGCAATATGCCGCGTGGCAAGTCGTCGTTTCGCAACATCAGCGTCGACTTTGACCAGCCAGCGATCGTCCACGACATCCCCAATAGTCTTCCACGGCGCCTCGTCGCTCAAGAGATAGTTGCCCTCCAAGATACAAATTTCCGTCTCTGGCGCTATTATTACGCCATTCTGAACAGGGTCTTTAAAGGCATGGTCAAATGTCGGAGCAGACACGGCATTGCGTCCGGCTTCCGTGCGGGCGGAGTCGGCAAGCCAGTTCGGCTGCCGCCGCACCGTCAAATGTCCACGGAGCGCCACGCCGAGCAAGGGCTTCTTGTGCATTGGGCAGCGCCTGCAGTGTCTTTCGTGAGAGGTGGAAGCCGTCTGCAGATACGGAAACTATTGACGGCGCATTCCCGCATTGCGCCACGTGCTCGACGACTTTGCTGGCGATGGTGGATTTGCCAGACCCGGGGGGCCCGGCGATGGCGACCATGAGACGAGCTTGGCCGAGGGCCTTCTTTTCAGCCCATTTGACTCGAAGCCGTTCTGACAGAGCTCTGTAGGTGTCTTGCATGGATATTCTGGCCTGATGAGGTGTCTGATGAAGGAGGTCCAGATTCTTTCTGCCTGGCACGGAAAACCGTTTTGTTCACGCAAATGCCGGAGGACTGAACTCCGGGTATGTGGGGCCGATGATGGTGCCGCCCGGAGGAGAGCGGACGGTCACCCTCTTGCCCGAATAGGGAATATGGTTCCCCGCAACTTGGGCATCGCTCAGGTCAACTGGTGCAAATACTTCGATCGACCCGATGTCGATTTGTTCCATCCACACCAGAAAGCCATTCTTCATTGACAGTTTGTGCCGTCAACTAGCCTCTACCATGGCAGACACCGTGGGTTATTGTTGCCGCGCCCCCGTTCCATCTCTGTGCTTCACTGACGCTCCCCCCCAGAACCCGGCTTTCGTTCTCCAATCCATCGGAAACGTCTCGTTCGAGGACCGGCCCGTGCCATCTCTACGAGATGAGTACGACGTGCGTGTTCACATAGAGCGGACTGGTATCTGTGGTAGTGATGTTCACTACTGGCAGAAAGGGAGGATTGGCGACTTCGTCTTGGAGAGCCCCATCGTCTTGGGCCACGAGAGTTGCGGCATCGTGGTCCAAGTTGGGGCCAAGGTGAAGAAGGTCAAAGTTGGCGACCGTGTAGCCATAGAGCCTGGAGTGCCCTGCCGCCGATGTGACTATTGCCGATCGGGCGTCTACAACCTCTGCGCGGATACGGTATTCGCGGCCACGCCCCCCCACGACGGGACGCTGCAGAAGTATTACATTGTCGCTTGTGATTATGCGTACCCCATCCCCAAACACATGACTGCAGAAGACGGAGCCCTGGTCGAGCCCGTCGCCGTTGCAGTTCAAGTGAACAAGGTCGCGGATCTGCGCGCAGGACAGACGGTCCTTGTCTTTGGGTGCGGCCCGATAGGACTTCTTTGTCAGGCTGTGGCCAAGGCCTCTGGGGCGAGCAGAGTGATTGGAGTCGACATTTCCCAATCAAGAGTCAACTTTGCAAAAGAGTTTGGCGCCGATGGCGTGTTTCTAAACCAGTCGAAACCGGTGGAGGGACAAGATCCTGTGCAGGCGTCGAGAGCTGTCGCCGAAACAATCGTCGCCGAATTCGGGCTCGGAGATGGCGCAGATGTGGTCCTTGAATGTACCGGTGCTGAGTCCTGCATTTCGGCTGGGATATTCGCGGCTAGGAAGGGCGGCACGTTTGTGCAGACCGGAATGGGACCGGAGAATGTGACTTTTCCCATTACAACTGCGTGTATCAGGGCTTTGACGATCAAAGGCTCCATCAGATATACCACCGGCTGTTATCCGCGAGCTGTGGAACTGATTGCCAGCGGTAAGATTCGGCCTAGGAAACTAATAACGCACAGATTCAAGTTTGAGCAGGCAAAGGAAGCATTTGAGTTGGTGAAGGAGGCACAGCAGGATACACTAAAAGTGATTATTGAGGGAGTGTGTAGTTGAGTTTGCAAATTCGGCAATATTGACGTGCATCTCCAGACACGGAGAGACGCTTGGTTCAAACTGGTCCCAGGAGCTCAATTATGTGACTCAGCGGAATTAAAGGGAACTTGTGCATATTTTGCGAGTAATGCCAGCAGCTACATGGCGGGTGAGTGTTCCCAAAAAAGTTGTTCTCCGGCATACATATTATGTAGATAATGGTTTACAAAGATCCAAGGAATGTAGCTATTGACGGTGGTTACACATTGCCATGAGAGTAGACCACCCTTTCGAGCATTTATGCATGACACTTCACCATATATACTTTATTAAGATTGTCCTTGAATGTATGAAAAATTGATCGTCAAATCATAAACTACTCCCTCTTGGCTTGAATTTCAGACAGTCCTGGAGGTGGTTTCAAGTTGCGCCTTACGCAATTGGTTTCTCCAACTCGTCAATGCTCGGGCGGCGATCAGTCTGGGCAACAAAGACCTTTCGGAAACGTCCGTGGCATAGATCGGTCATATTCTCCTTCACCCCAGCCCAGTTCTCTCTCACAATGTCCATGGTTGGTCGCTGGAACACGATATCAATCTCCTCCAGTGTCTTGTTCTTTGTCTCAGGCATGAAGAACACTTGGTAGATTTCGCCAAGAACAGCGATACCGCCGTAGAACCCGAGAGTGAGGCCAGTGCGCGTCATTGCTTCCTCCATGGCAGTGAAGTTGTAAGTGACAATGAAGGAGGCCAAAAAGAGAAGGGCATCGGAAGTGGTCATGCCGTAGCTTCGGAGGTACGTTGGGTAGACTTCGGACGGCACGACTAGAAACGGCAAGTATTAGTGGACCGACTTAGAAAACAAGAGTGCGAAACCTATTCATTGTACGCCGTTCGACTTACCCCATGTCAAGCAAGCGTACGAGCCAAAGAAGGCCATGTAAATAATCAGGCCAGTGAGATAGCAGCCCTCCGCAGCCATGGTGTGCGTCTCGATGTTAATCTGGTATCCAATACCAATAAGCACCAAGCCGATGAAGAAACCCGGCAACATCATGATGGCCCAGAACCGTCTACCGCAAGTTTCCATGAGGAAGACAGCAGGGATTGTGCCGATCAGTAAGGAACCGCCGCCAACCAAGGACATATAATTGGCCTTTTCGGCTTCGTATCCAATCTGGTTCATCAATACAGACATGTAGTACATGATGGCATTCACGCCGGTGAGCTGTCCCAAGAGAATCATGATGTTCGCATAGATGAGAGCTCGGCGAGCACGAGGAACACTGTGAGTTTTTATTAGAACATGCCTAGTGCCGTGGAAACCTTGGGATACGTACGTGAAAAAGTCCATCCATGGGAAGCGTCGATTTTTGGCCACCTCTGTCACAGCGCTGGCTTCTTGACGTACCGCGACAGCCATTACGTAAAATTCTTCCTTGGACTCGGTCGTCTCGACACCTCGAATACGTTTCCAAACCTTGAAAGCATCAAGAGTCTTGCCCTTATGCATGAGATAACGAGGACTTTCGGGCAGGAAGAGCATTCTATGAGGACCCAGCTGTTAGTCACAGAAGTTCCGAAACAAATAAAAGGAATGTAGTAAGAACATACCCGACAAACATAATGGTAGAAAATACCAAGGAGGAGCCGAGAATATATCGCCAGTTACCAGGGACCCTGAGAAATATGGCGGCAACAGCATAGCCAAGAACTTCTCCAAGGGCAATCATGAGCTGGTACAACGAAACCAAGTTACCACGAATGCGGCGTTCGACTGTTTCTGCAACGTAAACAGGAACCGTACCACCTTCTAAGCCGACTCCGAGACCCAGAATAACACGGCCTGCGACAATCATGCCTTTGATGGAAACCCACGTCGTCAGTACGTGGGTCATGTTGGATTGCAAGAGATGACATACCAAAGTCAATCGCACCAGCTTCTAGAGCTGCTCCAACAGTATACAAGACCAGGGACAAATATATCGCGCCTTTTCTGCCAAGATACTCGTTTGCAGGCGACAGGATCAGCGCACCGCCCACTGCACCAAGTGGCATGCCAGAGTTGACTAGGCTGTTCTCTCGCGGTGTAAGACCCAAGTCCTTTGGGAGGTACAGATTTGCGCCTGAAATGAGGCTCTGATCCAGTCCAGAAAGAAGGCCACCCATACTGGCAAACGCTACCAGCAGCCATGTGAAGTGTCTTGGGTCCTTAAACTCAAGGTTAAAGAAGCCTCGCTTCAGGCCACCAGAAGCCTCGAGTTCTTGCTCCATCTCGCCAATCAAGTTATCTACTTGGTGGCCGCCGGCACGCGCAATTTCGAGAGCCTCGGCCTCGGCCTTGTCGTTGCCGCCTCCACCCATGGTATATGAGTTTGCAGGTTTTTCTCAGAACGAGGTTATCAAACGTGATGGACGGGCTTGACGGCTGGAGTTGAAGTTGGCAAAAGCCGTGCTGGACGAGGAGATGTGCGACTGGAGATGCTATGGTTCGCAATGCCGCTTCAAGCGGGTCCGTGTGTCATTTTATAACTGGCATGATCATGTCCGCAAAAGAAAAGCCTTGTTGTCACTACCTTAAACCGGTGTTTATGCCGTTGGTCGGGGGTTACATTGTGGAGGGGGTCTGGGGCTCCAGATGGGGACCCCAGCATGTGGTGGAAAGACGGAAGAATCCAGCCTACTTCTTGACTCGTACGTTTCTTTATTCGACCGGATAAGTGGCCGACTAGGGTGACGGAATCGCGTAAACACGTCGATGGGTAAGCCGCATTTGACAATGGATGTCACAAAACGTTTGAAACCAATATATGCGGATTGCCGACATCGCGGTCGGGCTCGCCGATGGACGAGGAATATCTCCAACAATATCTGTGAGTGAAAATGGGCCAATAAGGTCAGAAAAACAAATAACTATGCAGTCTTGGAGGAGGAGGTGGTGGTATGAGACCGAGATGCTCAAGGCGAAGATCGCCAAGTGGTAAGTTCACGACCCGTGTTGGGCGCGCATCAAAATGATCGGGCCGGCAAATGAAGTGGATCGCGCTCAGTTAGTGCAGCTTCACGCCCGTGCCACACTAACTTCTACCGTCTTGGGCGACGACGACGTGTTAGTTGAGGCATTTTCACCGATGGTTGAGGACCTTGGAGTTGACGTTGAAGACATCTTGGCAGCCACAATCCGCAACGAATTCGGCAGAGCTAGAAAACGATGAGAGATGGCGCCCAGCCTCATGCCAACGGCTAATGAATTATCCTTTTTGCCTTCAACGGCCGATCATTCGGAGTGGACGAGGGCTGGGTGCCACAACCGTAAAGTGTGGCCAGGTTTTGCTGCTGTTGGTTGTTGTTGGCTCAACGTTTCTGGTCGGGTGAGTTCTAGCGTCACTAGCTTGGTGCAGTTTCTAGAAAGGCCTCCAGGGCATCTCGGACCGACGACATTTTCGAGAGCCAATCAAGTTCATCAACTTCGGTTTCCCTTGCCTGTGCAGAGTTGCAGAGTTGAGAGCCAACAGGGCAGGTGGTCTGGACTCTGCAAATAGAACCAGACACGACATCAAGGGCGGAGTAAAGTAGGAGGTGTATGCAGCACATTGTCTTTTGGGCCATTTCAAAATCATTCGACTATTGGTGAGTAATGGAGGGGGGAGGTTTACTCCGTACATCGGCAGCAAATGTGTGCAAAGTCGGACCAAGCTGCGTTTGTTGTTGTTCATCACTTCCGGCGACCAAAAAGTGAGCCCGAACTACTGTAATCAAGTCTTTTTGGTACTACGGGACTGCTCAGGCCACTGCCGGCTGCCGAAATGGTGGCCCATGAGCAGGGATGGGATAACCCGTGCGTCACCACCAATAACTACTAGTTACTATGTAACTACCTCGTACCCAACTGTGTCTCAAGTTCAATTGTGCTACATCAAGGTGATTATTGCTTGCCAGAGAACCTCACTCAACACATGCACACATACGCTGCAAGAAACAAGAAACGAGTACAACTGTCAATCTCAGTCATCGGTGGGTAGACAGAAGACTAAAGTTGATCGTTTCACGATGGCACGTGACGCCGGAGTTTTCTGCCCCTCCTTAACCCCACCAGGCCACCATCCTTACCTACCTTTGGCTGCTCGTCTCCAATTTGTCCGTCATCTCATGTTCCATTCAAGAGTAACAGTCTACACCGGGACGACTTTCCATCCAGCAAAATGCAATTGAAGACCATGAAACGGCTTGAGCTGCCGCCCACGGCAGACATGCATGTGCATCTGCGACAGGCTGAGCTCATGGAGCTTGTGGCTCCCACTGTCCGACAGGGAGGAGTCGACACCGTCTTTGTGTAAGAATCCATATTTTTTCATATACAAGTAGTACGTAGTGTATTCATTACAGTGCTGATTTATTCAAACATAGCATGCCGAACATTGTTCGTTCCCATTGCCTGTCCCCTGTCCGTTGTGACGTCAAGCTTCACGTGGAATCATTTTAATCTTGGTGCTACTCAGGTTCCCCCCATTACAACCGTCGAAAGAGTACGTATAGATATGTGAATCGTTGCTATAATGGGGCAATGAACGGGACATGGCCGAAGAAGCTAAATGCTTACTTTGAAATTGATAGGCATTAGAATACAAGGCTCAGCTGCAAAAGATCGATCCAAATGTTCACTATCTCATGTCTCTATTCGTCTGTGACACGGTTCTTTTTCTTTACAGTTCGGGTTGAACATTCTAACAGAAGCATAGCTTCATCCATCTGTCACCCCCGATGTGATTGCCAAGGCCGCCGCCGCCGGCATCACCGGTGTCAAGATGTATCCCCAGGGTAAGGCTTGATTCGCATTGCCTGCCTACAAGCGGATGCTAAACTCGTCAGGTGTCACTACCAACTCTGAAAATGGCGTTGCCAATGTTGAGGCCTTCTACCCTACATTTGCTGCCATGGAAGAGAACGACATGGGTATGATGTCCTTCCCCCAATTCTTTGACTGGTGGCCACGAGACTTATCAACGGCAGTACTGAACCTCCATGGTGAGGTCTTGGAGTCTCTTGCTCCTGAAGGTACCACTCTCGAGGAAGCGTTCCTACCGACCCTCAAGAAGCTTTATGAACGATTTCCCCGTCTTCGAATTATCGTGAGTAATCACTACGAAATCTCTGCTATGCGCGGCTGACGTGTTTAGCTTGAACACTGCACCACTTCTGCAGCTGTTGAAGCGGTCAAGGCCTGCGGTCCTACTGTTGGCGGTATGTGATGCTCTCTTGATGATCACATACAAACGAAACTAATAATACAATGGATAGCAACAATCACGGCGCATCACCTTTATCTGACCGGAGCCGATGCTTGCTGCGACCCGTTTGCCTTCTGCAAGCCTATTCCCAAAAAGCCTACTGACAGAGATGCCCTTCTAAAGGCTCTGGTCAGTGGTAATCCCAAATTCTTCTTGTAAGTTCTGAGAACGCGTAGGACTCGAGATCCGGACCGCACCGTATCTAATCATTCTACACAGCGGAAGTGATAGCGCACCTCATCAGATGGTCTCCAAGACTTCTGCTGAGCAAGGCAAAGCTCCCGCGGGAGTCTTCACTCAACCAGTCGCGACTCAGCTCGTACTGATGGCCTTGGAAGAAGGCGTTGAGCGTGGTGATATCAGTGAAGCTGACATCACACAAGAGAAGTTGGAAGGGTTTCTTAGCCGGCATGGACGACGCTTCTACAAACTTCCTGAGACTTCCGACAAGAAGATCGTATTGGAGAGAAAGGGAGAGAAAATTGGTACCAGTGTGAAGAGTGCAGATGGAAAATCTGAAGTCGGAATTTCTCGAGCGGGCAGTGAAATTTTCTCCTTGGCTTGGGAAGCAGTCTGAGTTGCAACTAGTTAAGCGGTGGTGTGTTGTTACCAGATCTATGGAGCAGAAACTGTTGTTTTGAAAATGGAGTTGGGGAAGAAAAAAAAGCTTTGATTTATAGGATGAGGCCGATGACAAGGATCAATCAACACAACCTAAAGCATAAAAAGTCTTGGTTATAACAGCAAATTTCTTTTGGGTACATTTTTTATGCCCCTACTGTACAATACTGTATTTTGAATGACACATTTATTGGCAGATGAACGCTCCAGCACATCGCACGCTCTCTAAATCAACTTCTGCCCTGGCTTCTCCTCCATGTGCGCTGCGGAATCCTTTATTCTCTTCGTCGCATGCATGATATTCATCTTTGCCTCGGCGCCATCAAAAAGATATGCAAGTTCCTCAAGTGTTGGTCCCGCAGTCTCAACAAAGAAGAAGTAGACGACGAGGAAAATCACCGTCACCCAAACACAGTAGTAGATGTAGAACTTCCAGCCAATATTCTCCAAGCCAATTGGATTCACATAGCCTCCAAAGATTGACGCAACTTGAATAGTCAACAGCACAAATGCCCACGTCTTGGCCCGCATCTGGTACGTGACGACCTCGAGGGGGTAAGTGACAACCAAGTTTGTCCATGCAAAAGTGTAAAATGCCTGGAAGATGAAGATGCAGGCAAGCACCACACGGCCTGCAGCTAGCGAATCTTTCTCGAGATAGTGCTGCGCAGCGATGGTCCAAACAACGAATGTGACGACGACACCCCCTGAACCAACGAGGAAGAATGTCCGTCGCTTGAACTTGTCGATTATGGCCGTGACTGTCAGAGCGACAATGTACTGCCACAGCGTGACCATGCCATTGACAAGAGTAATATGCTTGTCGGCCTTGACGCCGGTGTCTTTGAGAATCTGCGTCAGGTAGTTGGACACGAGCAGATTTCCAGAGCTTTGGCTAAAGACTGCGGTCGCAAAACAGAGACCGATTCGTTTCAGGTTGGGGACTGACGAGAAGAAGTCCTTCCAGGTGATGTTTTGCTCGGCTTCCTTGGCAATGACCTCTTGGATCTCCGCAAACTCGAACGCAACAACAGGCGAATTGGGGTCGCATTCGCCGTGGTACTTGACCAAGATTTCTCTTGCTTCCTCCTTCCTGCCCCTGGCAACCAGCCATCGCGGAGACTCTGGAGAGAAGAAGATCAAGGCGAGTTGGTACGCAGATGGGACAATCTGAATGAGAGTTGGCAATCTCCACGACCACTGGTTGGGGATCCGGGAGCAGCCGTATGTGGCCCAAGCGCCAATAACATAACCCAGAACAATGGAAGTGTTGTAGAATGTCGTCACTTGGACTCGCTCCTTGGGGTGGCTCAGCTCCGTCACCAGCACGGCAGCCGTCATTTGAACCAAGCCGCTCCCGAAACCAAGAACCATCTTGCCACCAATGTACATGTTTAGCGAGGTTGCAAAGAACTCAACGAGGACGCCTACGATGATGACCAGGGAGCCCAGAGCGGTGGGGACACGGCGGCCAAACTTGTCACCTATCCAGCTCAGCGTGAGGAACGGTATCACTCCGCCAATGGCGTTGGAAGCGCCAAAGAATCCTAGTTTTGAACCCGTTGGGTGGCCGAACCGTTCCTGCCAAGTGCCTAGGACTTGCATGCCATTGGTCATGGACTAGGATGCATCTCGTGTTAGCCTTATGCACAAACGCACGATTGCCGATCCAGAGATGGTAAGACTTGAGACCTTACCCCATCGATGCCAAGAGCAGCGCTCGTGAAGAGCGACGAAGTGAGAAGAAAGTAGAGCAGGATGCCATTTCTTCTCTTCCAGAAAGGACGGATGGCCTTGAGGTCAACAGGCGGAAGGATGCCATCGGCGGTATGAGCAGCAGAGGGAGCCATGGCAGCAGACAGAGGAGTTGCGAAAAAAAAAAAAAAAAAAAAAAAAACGCTTGAACAATACTGAGCTGGAGACTCGATGGTCCCTCACCAAACGAATGTCATCAGACTGATATCGATATACCGAGTCGAAACGATGCAAACAATGTCATCTCGACCATGTGTATATATATTGTTCAGTTGATACATGGCTCTAGCGTGAAATACTGGGATAAATCGAGTCTAACGGTTCCCCGTGGGGGAAGGATTGAAGGTGCGGGTCGCGGTGCGGGATATCGGAAAAACGGCAAAATTGGACGGCGGAATCGGGCGGAATAATACTACTTGTTATCCCGCTATGGAGATGCAGGGAATTTAGCAAATGCGACAGAAACAACCGTTGTCGTCTGATTCTCCGTATCTCCATTGAACATGTTCAATATTAATTCCGTCTGACGAGAAGCAGCAGCGCCTGAAGGCTATAATAACAGCTCACTTCAGTCCCTCAGGAGTCAGGACGAATCAGTTCAGCGTGAGCGGCGCTTCCGTTTGCGGTCGCAACATCACCAAAATTTACAAAAATGGGCAGTAAGAGCTCACCCCTCCCTGCCGACTTTGAATGGGGCTTCGCGACAGCAGCATATCAGATAGAGGGGGCTGTCGCGGAGGGTGGTAGAGGCAAATCCATTTGGGACACCTTCTGCCATCTCGAACCAACTCGTACCAAGGGAGCCAATGGCGATGTTGCCTGTGATCACTATCACCGGTATGAAGAGGACTTTGATCTGCTCACCAAATATGGTGCCAAGGCGTACAGGTTTTCTTTTTCTTGGCCGCGCATTATTCCCCAAGGTGGCAGAAATGACCCCCTGAACGAGGAGGGCATTTCCTTCTACGATAGACTCATCGACTCTCTCGTCAAAAGAGGAATCACGCCCTGGGCTACTCTATACCACTGGGACCTCCCCCAGGCACTGCATGATCGTTATGGTGGCTGGCTTGATGTTCAAGAGTCTCAGTTGGACTTTGAGCGGTACGCAAGAGTGTGCTACGAGCGCTTTGGAGACAGGGTGAAGAATTGGATCACTTTGAACGAGCCGTGGATTCAATCCATCTTTGTAAGTCATTCAACATTGCATTGAGCGATATTTGTTTGCGACAAGAGCAAAATGACTGATCCTGAGACGCAGGGATATTCTACCGGTGGCAATGCACCTGGAAGAAGTAGCACAAACGACCAGTCAGACGCCGGCAACAGTGCCACTGAGCCTTGGATTGTGGGCAAGGCACAGATTCTGAGCCATATTCGCGCTGTCATTGCCTACAACAAGGACTTTAAGCCCTCTCAAGGAGGTCAGATTGGCATATCACTCAACGGTGACTACTACGAGCCTTGGGACAGTGCAGACTCTCGTGATGAAGAGGCTGCTGAGCGACGGATGGAATTCCACATTGGCTGGTTCGCAAACCCTATCTTGTAAGCAGCCCACTGTAAAACAATTTTTCAATTCGCAGAGTTGACCGGGAAATATAGCTTGAAGAAGGACTATCCTAGCTGCATGCGCGAGCAACTCGGCGATCGGCTCCCACTCTTTACAGAGTCCGAGTTTGCCCTTGTGGAGGAGGCAGACACTGACTTTTACGGAATGAACTACTACACGTCGCAGTTCGCGCGGCACAGAGACGAGCCCGCGTCGGATACTGACTTCGTGGGCAACGTGGACGAGCTGCAGCAAAACAAACAGGGTACTCCTGTGGGCGAAGAGAGTGGCCTACACTGGTTACGTTCCTGCCCCGACTTATTCCGCAAACATCTGACCCGGGTATACAATTTATATGGAAAGCCCATCTACATCACCGAGAATGGCTGCCCGTGCCCCGGGGAGGATAGGATGACTTGCGACGAAGCAGTCAATGACCCATACCGCATCAAGTACTTCCGCTCTCACCTCGACGCCATATGCAAGTCCATTGTGGACGACGGAGCCGTCATCAAAGGCTACTTTGCTTGGGCACTTCTCGACAATCTCGGTGAGTTCCTGTCCACTTCTCAGGTATCTGTAGCTAACCGCTTCACAGAATGGTCTGATGGATACGGCCCACGCTTTGGCGTTACATTCACTGATTACAAGACTTTAGAGCGGACTCCCAAACAGTCTGCGTTGCTGCTGAGGAAAATGTTTGCGGAAAGACAGGGCATCTTCATCACTAGCTAATGCGACTCATCACGGCGACGGACCCTCGAGCTCTTTCGTACATGTTAGGGCTGCATGTGTCTGCGGGGGAAAGTCGCACGGGAAACGTTGTACACGCTGCAGATGGAATGATTGCATAAACCCCAGAAAGTGGGCACCAAAGCAAGACTAGTAAATACAGTAGTTGGCATACATTGGTAAACAGTTACAGAGACGAGATGGAAAATCCACAAACCATAGTCCGTCCAGCTCTACCTGTACACGAAGCGCCATTTTCCCCAACAACCATGAATCCCAAATAACCAAACACCCAAAGCCATGCTCAAATTCCCTGTTCTTCTCTTTACATTGCCCAAGTGGACGTACTCTTGAGAGCGTCCGAGGCCTTTGAATCAAGCCTTGTTAAAATGTCAAGCAGTACGCTAAAATCACTTCTCGCTCGCGCCGCAAGCGGTGAGGCCTGATTACGATGAATAATAGACAGCAGCGTAGCACCAATGAGCCTAATCTTTTCTACCTGCAAGCACAAAAAAAAAGTTAGCTCACTCTGACACGTTTGTCAAATGTCAAACAGGATTTTGACGGCAAGCGTACATATGGTTCGCCGTTGACCTGCAAAGACCAAAACGGCGCCTCGTGCATCACCCTCAGCATGTCCCTCACTATTTCCGTCTTGCGCAAGTCGGCTTGCTCAGCCCCCGGGGCAAAAAAGGCAATATCTTCAAACTTTTGGGTGATGACCATGCGCAAACAGTGGAAGGAGACCTGTAGATTTGCGCATTGGATGACGAACTGCTTCGCTTCGGTGACGGGGCTGCCGGCGCTTCCGACAGCGGCAAATGTATATGACTGCAGGTACGGGGGAAGATCGTCCATGCATGTGATGAATTGAACAAAGAGCGAGTCTAGGCGCTGCCTCTCGGACTCTGTTAGTGCCTGGCTGGTTCGATTTGCGGCGCCGAACTCAATGGACTTTTGGTCTTGGAAGAGTCGGACTTGGATCAAGAGGTCTGAAGCTGCTTGCCACAGCTTCAAGTTTGCATTGAATCCAGCGATGAGGTTCCTGTCGTGGCTATCGGGGGACGTTGTGACGTCGGAGACGTTGGCCGTGGAGGTCGACCTGTTGTCCATTCCGGTTGGATATGCGGTAGTGACGCCAGATTCAAAGGAGTACTTGTGCATAGTTATTGGACGGTTGTTTAGAATGGCGGCCGATTTATCGCCCATGTAAACGATCCAGAAGGCACGGCGACGCAGCTCGGATTCCACGGGTGGCAGCCCTTCCAAGGAGGCCTCGTCGTATAGCCTCATCACCTGTGCGAGTCTGGTGGCCTCGCCAAAGATGTGCCACGAGTACTTGGGCTTCCCGGCCGCATGGATGCAGTTTGAGTGAAAGTACCGAATGGTGATGGAGTTTGCATTCGGGTTTTCCAGGTCCGCCTCCAAATAGCTGTTCAGGCAGTCCCTCGAAGCTTGCAAGAAGATGTCAGCGACCGTCTCGCCCTCGGGAAAGAGGTCCTTGGGGAGAAGAAACGCCGCCTCGGCACAAAGGGCGGTAATGAGGGTCAATGTGGCATCGTGCCAACATCCCAAAGTCTCGCCGCCGGGACCGGAGCCAACATCAGGAGAAATTCCAGGCCATGCCGGAGGATTCAAGGCGGGCAGAGTGTCGGCCACACGGTCATTTCCATTTCGTGGCGCCGCGTTCTGCAACGCCGAGTTGGACGACTGTGACGCAAATATGGAAAGCCCGTCACGAAGACTTGGTTCGTGTACCAGGGGAGTGAGGGGGTAGAGATACTCGAAAAAGAGGCCAAAGCATCGCTCAACGATTTGCTCAAGGACCTTGTTTCGTAGCGACAGGGCTCTGGACAAGGCGCGCCACCGCCTGGCCGCGGAAATGCCGTGCGCTGCTGGGGGACTTGCTATGGAAGCAAAGTCTCGAGTCGAGGCTGGAGACAGCGCGGCGCCAGCGCCGAGTTGAGCTGAGGATTCCCATGCCGTCGTCGTCGACGAGCTTGATGGACTTTTGAAAGTGGCCGCGGTCGAGCTGGTAGGGTGGCCGACAAGCGGCGCGTGGTGTATGCTTCTTCGACCGGAGAATGTCGACACAGACTCTGGCGGAATAGATGAATCCGTTCTCTTCTTGGACTTGGGCCCGCGCTTGGCTAAGGGCAAGTCAAATGTGCAACGGACATTGTTGTCTCGGCAGTGTGAGCACGTACCAACCGCGCTGTCAAAGTCGCACTTTTAGACTCGAGTTAGGTTAGCTGCCCGAGGGCCATGGAAAGCTCCGACGGAGAAATAAACAATTAAGCCGCACCTTTGCTTTTCTTCGGCGACAACGGTCGCAGGCTCGAGTGATGGCTTGGCGGCGTGGTTTGTCCAGGATTGGCGACAGAGGGCGTGGAGGCGAGCCGCGCAACGAGCTGCTCATGTTGACATGATGCTGGACCTTTTACATGATGGGACCGGAATGCCCTAGGACGGGGAAAACGGGGAGAGGAAGCAAGGGACTTTCGGGGTTTTATGTCGGTCAAACGCCGTCTTCAGCGTCGCTCGCCACGTGGAGGATCGTGGACGATCCACACTTTTATTGAACAAGAAAACTCCGCATCTGCCTTTCAGCTGGAGCGGGGGCGGGGTCTGGGGTCAGCCAAGGATGGAATTCAGATGTCAAGGTTGGACTCGATTGTGCCGGCCCGTCACCACGGCTCGGCGGCTGCACATGTCAACTGGTCTGGTGTGTTTATTGGGCTCGCTTGCAAGGGGCCGAACTGCTTTAGGGTTGGCTAGTGCGTTTTCAGACATTGAACAATTCATCAGGCCAAGGCTGGTTTTGCTGTGGCAATCAAACAAAGTCTTGACACAAGTATAAATGAAGCTGCCTTGACCGAGACGGACACAAAGTCGGAACCACCTCCTGCCAAAGTCCCTGATTTATGTTGGCAAGAATATGAAATCATTGTTCGTGAAGCAATTCCTGGTGGCCGGTGGCCTGACAGTGGCATCCGCCTTGCCCTCGCTTCAGCCACCTCGTGCCGACCCAACCCAGGGTTCGTATCCGCGATGTCGATTTGCGGCTGATTGGTCCCAGGAGGCTGTGCTCAAGGACCCGAGCGGGTTCGAACGGGACCTCCTGTTTTGGGAGGGCAAGTTTCATCAAAACAATGTTGCGTACAACTCGGTCAATGGCATGACATATGACGGAACACAGCTCAACTGGACGACGGGAGCGCGTACTCAGAAGCATACCTTCAGTGCTGCCAGTAAAGAGGTACTTGAAGCGCTCTGTACCCAGGTGTTGCCCTTGGAAAAAGAATAAAGAGAGAGAGAGAGAGAGAGAGTTGTCTAACAGCTTGGTTTGATGGACCTAGGCTCTCCAGATAATGCTCTATGCACGCGCCATAGCTGGCTCTAAAAAAGCAGCTCGCTTCCTTACGCCCGATGATCCCACCAAAGCCCGGAAGCTTGCAGCATCCATCATGAAGACAAAGCTCCGGACATATCTTCAATTCAACGAGTCCTACCCGGGGTTTGGCGGGTTTCTGCCTTGGATGACAACCAGCAAGCGCCAGCCGTCTCCAACTTGGGACTGGGTAAACCGAGTGCCTGCTTTGGACAACGGGTGAGCAGGCTCTAAAGTGCCTTCCCCCCTCCCGTGGAAAAGTTTTAGACTGACATGAAATCCTTGATTGCAGTGAGCTCGTTTGGGCCGTGTATGCTTGCATCAGTGCCCTTGAGCTGAGCGGAAATAAATCATTCCAACGTACCGCCAAGAGCTGGCAGAAGTGGTTGGACTATGTCAAGACCACGGCTGCTACCGTTTTCTACCGCGGAGATGGCCGTGTGTGCGCAGTGGCAAAGATCAACAACCAGACTTTGCCTCCCAAGAATGCAAAGCAGGGATACCAATGCGAGGGCACAAACTACCTCGATGACCCCTATGAAGGCGAGCTATTCACCCATTTCTTGAACGCCTTTGGCGGGCTGTCTCGAGACGACAGGGACGCACTGTGGGAGGTTAAGAGGGCGAAGCTTGTAAGCGTGGAATACAACGTGGGCGGAGTTGGGCCCATCACGGTCGAGCAAGGTAATTGTCCAGTCTCCCTTTACTTGGGTACACTAGAGCTAACCGACATGTAAAAGGATACTGGTTCTCTAGCCATGAACCGTGGAAGGTTCTTGAACTGCCATACTACGATGTTGACCTTGTGAAGTGAGTACGGGTCTTGTCGGCTAATTCGGCTGTGGGAAATTTTGCTGACTCTTTGGTCTCAAAACGACAGGAGGTTATATCGCAACGCGGAGAGGGCAAGGACTTGCAACTCGGTGGTGACCAAGGTCCCTGGGCTCTTCGCATCTGTCAACAACTCTACAGACCCGAAGACGGATAAAATCATCGGCTACATCTCCCCAGCTGGGATCCCCTCCATCGCAAGCCAGAAAGAGCAGGAACACGATGTCATCACACCATACGGTGCCTGGCCCACCATACTGTTTGACAAGGCTGTTGGATTGGCGTGGTGGCGCAACATGGTCGTCGCAAAGAAGATGCAGAGTAAGCCCACGTGGATAAATGCCGTCGTCGGAGATGCTAATTTGGAACCAGATCTTTACGGAAGTACTGAATCCACAAGAGTAGACGGGGAACTAGTGTCGGCACTCGTTACTTGGGACAGCAAGATTACAACCGTTCTGGCCCTTATGGGTGGTGTTGGTGGCCTTGTTCGTCCAAAGATGAAGAGGGATCGCATTTACAAAGATTTCATCGCGATCACGAAGGTAGGTTCGACTATGCCAGATGCACTTGAACCCCCCGGGGTGGACAAAGACGACGACACTAATGTCCGAAACAGAGAGAGTACGGTCACGTATTCAAGGACTTGAAGGGAGAAGACATTGCACTTTGCCTACCAAACGAGACGGTGCCGGATGCCGGTTTGGAGGACTTTACCCTCTGTTCCGCACAGACTGTAAAAAATGAGGATGGAGGGGAAATGCGATTTTCCTGACTGTGGTCCATTACGTACGTGAACAAGGCCAAGGCCGTAGCTGTGAAACCGTGTAAAGGGGTTGGCTGGTAGTCGGCTCGGTTATTGCCAAGACCCACGCGGGTTGAGTCGGCTATATGGATGTCATGGAATTTTTCGACCCATCGGGAACAATCCACCCTGGAAATCAACTCGTCTACTCCGTATAAGTTTCAATATTCAACGTGACAAGCAGAGCGTCTCGATGCGCACTGGGTGCCTGCAACTCATCCAATGGGCGCATAAATGATCCGTAACATGGCAAGGCCGCAAATACTCGGCCTTCGTCAAGCAAAGTCACTTCTTACACAGCCATGGCCCCCTCCACCACCATCATGTCAAAGCCGATGCTTCTCCGCAAGCCAGACGAGGCGGATCATGGAAACAACTGGCTTCACTGAGAACCAGCTCCTGGTGCGCGACTCCATCAAGCAAATATGTTCCCAGTTCCCGAGCTCGTACTGGCAAGAGCGCGATCAGAAAGAGCAGGATCCCAAAGAATTCCACGCCGCCATCGCCAAGGGAGGCTGGCTGGGCATCGCACTCCCAGAGTCACTCGGCGGCTCAGGCCTTGGCATGTCCGAGGCAACCATGATGATGCAGACAATTGCGGAATCTGGAGCCGGCATGGCTGGAGCACAGGCTATCCACGCCAACGTCTATGCCACCCAACCGCTGGCCAAGTTTGGCACCCAAGAGCAGGTGAATGAGGCGATTCCCAACATCATATCCGGCAAGTGGCGGACATGTTTTGGCGTCACGGAACCAAACGCAGGGCTCAACACTCTGGGATTGTCGACCACGGCCCAAAGGACCGCTGACGGGTACAGCATCACCGGGCAGAAGATCTGGATTACGTGCGCGCAGGTGGCGTCAAAAATGATACTGCTGGCTCGCACCACGCCCAGAGACCGGGCCGAGAAGCCAAGTGAAGGGCTGTCTCTGTTCTGTATCGACCTGGACCGCGCGAGGCCAGGCCTGGAGCTGCGGCGGATAAAGAAAATGGGCGGCCGGGCCGTGGACGCCAACGAAGTCTTTTTCGACAACTACCAGATCCCGGCGTCGGCCATGATAGGCGAGCAAGGGCGCGGGTTCAAAATGATCCTGCACGGGATGAATGCCGAGAGGTGTCTTTTGGCAGGCGAAGCGCTGGGTCTCGGATATGCAGCCTTGTCAAAAGCGGCGTCGTATGCGCGGGAGCGCGTCGTTTTCGAAAGGCCGATTGGCATGAACCAAGGCGTTGCGCACCCTTTGGCGGATGCCTATGTCAAGCTTGAAGCGGCAAAGCTGGCAACCTACCATGCGGCAAGGCTATATGATCAAAGCACACATGATGCAAATATCAAACAAGACGCCGTCGGCGTTGCGGCCAACAGCGCAAAGTATGTGGCGGCAGAAGCAGCGTTTACGGCGTGCGAGAGGGCCGTTCTCGCCCACGGAGGCATGGGATATGCAGCCGAATACGACGTGGAGAGGTGGTTTAGGGAGTGTCTTGTCCCCAGAATCGCGCCTGTGAGCCGGGAAATGATTTTGAACTATATAAGTGAGAAGGTGCTGAAATTGCCGAGAAGCTATTGATTGAGTGGTAAGTTGTGGAAGCATGGGATACTCGCAGGGCAAGAGGATTGCCGCAATGTAGACATTTAAGTTGAAAAAATCTAAAAGAAAGAAAGAAAGAAGAACCATACTTCCAGCAACTCATCATACGGCCCGTGCCGCTATAAATCTCCAAGAATTACCTTGTTTGCAGTGGGAATGCTGGTCCAATGCACATTCGCGGGATCGCATTGCATATAGGTCATCGGGGTGTCTGACGGAAGCAGCAGGTCCAGGATGTCGTCAGTCGCCACACGGCAGTTGCAGACACACCCTCCCTCTCTCACTCTCATTCTCACTCTCACACACACAAACGGCGTCCCTTCTCACTCACCAACTCACCAACTCACACTTCTCTCTCACCCGCTGCGGCCACAACCCATCCAAAGTAATCGATGCGCACCCTCCACATGCATCTCCCTCCCAAGTTTTGGATGCACAGTCCAATGTCCCTCTAAGAGCGCAGCCGCACCTCCCCTGCAGGCGCCATGCCGCACACCGCACCATCCGGCCAGAAACCCAAGAAGACCCGCGCAAAACACGCCTGTCGTGAATGCAACAGCCGTCGTGTGCGGTGTGATGTGACCGAAGTCCAACCCTGCACGAATTGTGCCGCGGCCGGGGCCAAATGCGAGGTTCTTCCATCTCGCCGTGGACGGTACGCCACCAGCGTGAATTCTTGGTCAAGGCCTTTACGACGCAACACGTTCGCTCCCTTGAGTCGACGCTAATTGACCACGACAGATACCCGCGCAGGTCTCGTCGTCTGGAACCCGCGCCGCCTCCCGACACCAGCGTGTCATTAAGCCCGACGCGCACCGTCGACACCAATGTGCGGCCGTCCTCGAGTCTTGCCGGCGACTCTCATCTGCCCGACTTGGAACCGCGGTCGAGCCCGGTCGTCGCAAGCGAGGACGCAACCGCCGGCCTCAACAGTGCGCCGGCCTCGGCGGCATCCGCAGCCGGCACGCTCTTCTTTGGGGAGTCCAATTTCCTGACGCTCGTGCCCGGCAACGAGGCGGCCGCCTTGGAGGGCGCCGGCAATGCCTCGAATCAAAAACCGCGACTCACGTTCCCGATCCCCGGGAGCCCCGGTTCGCAGTCGCAGGTTGAAGGCGCCGGGATAAGCGCCGGCACCATGCGGTACTTGCGAGACGAAGGCGCCCTCACGCTCCCGGATCTCCAGACTTGCCTCCCGGCCCTCCAGGCCTACTTCACATGGTTCCACCCAAGCTTCCCAATCCTAGACCGAGCAGAGGTGACCAGGCGGCTGGCTGCCATGGATATTTCTCGCTTCCTGCTCCAGGCCATGCTGTTTATAGGCGCCACCTACTGCGACGATGACACCATCGTAGCCATGGGATTCAAGGATCGATCCGAGGCCAAGCGCATCCTCTACACGAGGGCGAGGCTCCTCTTCCATGCCGATTGGGAAAAGGACGAGATTATTCTGATACAGTCTCTATTTCTCATGAGCTTCTGGCGTGGCGGCCCAGCAGACGTCCGCGATGTCAGGTACTGGCTCGGCGTCGTCATCACCTTGTCCGAGTCGTACGGACTGCATAGATCGTAAGTTCAGCACGCCACGTCCAGACCAAGATGCGAATACGCTCTGCTCACAGTTTAACCCCCCACCCCTCAAGACCGCGATCGATTTCAAAAAGCACGCATATGAATCGAATGCGACGGAGAATTTGGTGGTCCATTTATGTAAGTTTCTGCTCATGTTGCCATGGAGCCATCTGGGAATTCATAGGCCCCCCCGACATTGGACTCAACCCCTGACCCAGGCATACAGGTGCGTGAGCGCCAGGTAGCGGCAGCACTGGGGTTGCCCAGCCGTATAAGAGATGAAGACTGCGACATTGAGCCTCTCAGCGCCACTGATCTCGAGTCTGAAGCCTTGTGTGCCAACAATCCGCTGTTCGGGTCATGCCAACCAGAGCACATTACGTATACCATCAAAATGGTGGAGATTGCCAGACTCCGTAAGTGTGATTCCAGAATGCGCCAGTTGCTGGCGGTACGAAAATTGCAGAATGGGTTTTTTTTAAAAGAAAGCTAATAAGGTTCCAACAAGTTGGTCGTGTAATCGATCTACACTTTGCTCCTGGCAAACGAGCTTCGACGGCCGGCGACGTCAAAGACCTCGACAACGCCCTGGAGGCATGGAAAGACAGTCTGCCAGAGAGCATGAGGTATGCAACAGAAGAAGGTAGCGAGTCTGTATGGACATGTCTACTGCACCTAGCATACAAGTGAGTCGTACACAAGAGCACCGTGGTGCAAATCTCGTCTAACCCCGTGGTGACGCAGTCATCTACGCATTTTAATACACAGAAATAGTTTCTTACGATACGGAGAAGGGGACAAGAATAACCAGGTCGTCACCGCCGCCGCCTGTAGGATAAGTAGAATCGCGGAGGACATGTCCACGCACGGCACGCTGCGATACGGACAGATGCACCTGTAAGCTCTCGGCCTGACGCCAATTCTCTCTCTGTCTCTTTTTTCTTGTTCATAAATTGTTCATTCGACTCATTCCCGTGTGCAGAATCACCAGTCTATTTGCAGCTCTCTGCATCCACGTCATAAGTATTCGGCGGGGAATGGGCGTTTCAAGACGAATCGCAGAGCATAGAGCACAGATGTGCCTGCTTTGTCTGAAGGAGATCCAGAAATACTGGAGGATCAATAACAATGTCCTTGATTTGTTTCTCCAGTACCTGGATCGATCTATTGCCGAGAGACTGCACGCCGCGCAGACGGACGGCTCTGGTAGTGACGCCGCGGCAGGGTCGAAACGACCGGACCCTTTTATCGGGAGCAATGGCGATGCATCGGCTGCGCCATCTCGAGGGGATCCGATGCTGTCGCCCAGTGGGGAGCAACTGCGCAGCCCGGACGACTTGTTCCAAGACCAGTACTTCAATCTGGTCAATGGTCATTGGGAAGGGGACGATGCCTTGGGAGACTTGGGGCTGTTTTTGCAAGCCGACGACTTTTCTCCGGTGAAGGGCCTGAACTTCCTCGGTCGGTCTCGGTAGCTGAACAAAAGAGCGCTGTGCTGTCTAGAGACTCTTGTCTTGGAAACTGTGCAAGAAATAAAATTGTTCAACCACCAAGTTTGTTTGCTTGCCAATATATAACTACGTATAGACACTCTGGCCATTGACAACCTGGAGGAGAAATTGTTTACAAATACCATCGAAACTCGGGCGAATTAGGACCATCCCGCAGCTTGAGAGTTGGCACGTCCTGAGCCTTGAGCCTGACGCCTGCCTTGCGGTCACGCCTTCTATTGTCAAAAATCATGTACAGCCCCAAAAGACACGCAACAAGGGCGCCCGAAGCACCGAAGCCGGCCGCGGTGATGAGGGCCGGCATATACTTGGGGGCATCGTGTTGTTGGAAAATGTTGCTGGCCACCAGACCCATGACGTTGGCTATGGGCACACCCACTGATGTGAGTGTAACACGACGGCCCTCGTGGGCAATGTTGTTATTGTACCATGTTGAGAGGAGGACCGACGGCGCAGAAGTGCCCCAGCACATCATGAAGGTCGCAAAATACGCAACTTGAAGTTGGGCCCGGACGTCGGTAATGGATGCGTAGATGACAAATCCGGAAAACGTCAAGGCGAAGCCGAGGACAATGAACGGAAATCGAATACGGGTAAAGTCAGAAGCAAAAGCCAACAGAACCAGAACAGCAGCGCCCGTGACGCTCGGCGCGACGGTGTAGAGGTTCGTCTTGACGGTAGAGTAGCCAAGCCGCTGGATGATTTGAGGCAAAAACAATGACACCGACTGGAGTGGCACGCCAAGACAGACTTCGATGGCGAGGAAGGCATACGATGAGGGGTACTTGAATATCTGCAGGGCCTCCTTGAAGCTGAACTTCTCCAAGACGACCGAGGATGAGTCGACTTGGATACGGTGGAAAGCGAGAGCCTTCTCCTCCTCGTTGAGGAACTTGGCCTCGGATGCACTTGTCGGCAAATACCAGAAGGCGAATACGGCGAAAAGCACGGTGGCCGATCCTTCGATCAAGAAGAGATAGCGCCAAGGGTACATGCCGGACTTGATGTGGAACACAGCAAAGGCAAGCAGTCCGCTGAAGGCATTGCCAATGTTGGAAGCGGCATAAAATATGGCCAGCCGTCTGGCCAGCTCGCCACGTCGATAGAAGGTGGTCAGGTAGTAAATGACGACGGGGAAGAAGGCGGCCTCGGCCATACCGAGGAACCAACGGACCGCAAAGATGCCGCCAAAGTTCTGGCAGGCTGTGGTGAGGAGAGTCATGGAGCCGAATGTGAACATCATGACAGGCAGCGCGCGGGCTGAGCCGTACTTCTTGGCGAGCATGGCGAAGGGAGGGGCGAAGATGACGAAGGGCACGAAGAAGATGGATACGACGAGGTTGTATTGGCCGTCTTTGAAGTTGAGATCTGTCGGAGAGGGGCTGTCAGTGGGTAGGCATTTGGGGGGTTTTTTTTTTCTGTTGACGGAGGGTGTATTTACTCTGGCTGAGGCCATTTGTTTGGGCGTTGCCTAGATTGCCTTTATCAAGGGCGTTGAACAGGTCTGTACGAAGCAGAGTCAGTATGATTGTGCTTCGACGTCACCCAAGACGTGGGAACGGGCTGTCGTTGAAAGAAAGCAGCTTACACATGACTACCAGGACTGGCAGGACACGAAAATCAAACTTGAAGCACAGGCTGCGCTCGGCTGCATGGTCGACCACGGCTGTGCAATCGCTGAACATGTTGTTCTTGAGACACTCATCCTGCTCGTGGACATGGCTCCCCACGGCCTCAACATCCGCAGCGGATGCTGTCATGATGAGGTCGGTAAGCACTGACTTGGCCCCAAGTAAGGTCAAGCTGTGTAGAAGATGGGGGCCCGAGAACCAGAAAGTGGTAAGTGTGAAAAGATCAGAGCGTTGGCAAGCGTCCGGGGGGATGTGCTCATTGCTCAGCTTATATCCCAAAACAACCACACCAACTCCATGTGCGAGATACCAGATTTGTTAAGATAATACCGGTCCTCAGTTGGGTGCCGCGGGATGCGCTTTCACGTTGTCCATGATCTTATCTTGTGTCAATACTATCAAGCGTCCGGTCCGTCGCTGATTTGCATGCAACCTGATGGCGATCATGGAGACGGAAGGAAGACTTCAGACCTGCAATCTCTCTGCTGCTTGCATCCCGTATCTCGACTTTCAGCTAGCGCCACGCATTCTCCATGTATTAAAACTTCAACCTCGATATTGATTGGGGGTGAGGATGGCGTAGAAAGATTCTAGACGGCGGGTCGATTGCTTGCCTGCTTATCAACATCCAAAGAATTAATTGATAAGTTAGCTTTTGTTCCCCGCAAAGTCGACAAGCCATGGTGGGGGGCCCCTGCAGAGATGTACATACCTACCTAGGTACCTACTTAGTAGGAAGGTAGCCAATCGTTACGTGGGGGTCGACACCTTCAGCATCAGCGGCAGGGTCCGCAAGCCTCAACTGGTGCACCCTCAAGTACACATGTTTGGATACAGCTCTTGCCGCACGGTGGCCGTCTTCCTGGAGTGTTTGGATGGGTGTCACTCTTTGGGACAAGTCAAAACCGATGCCAGATGATGCCGACAGGTTTGGAGCCAAGACAGTCCCGTGGAGGCCCCTGGCGAGGAGGAGATGAGGGGTTAAGTTGCAGTTTGGAGGGTCCAAGGTCTATTACATACCTACCTACCTTGTACCGAACGTGGTGGTCGTCGAGCTTGGCTCCATAGGAGTGTCGTCATGTGAGATGCTGCTACGGTAAACCAGGCCTATGACGAACAAGAGGTTACAACGATCATCAGATTATTATGATATTTCTTGCCTATTTGAATACTAATGAAAAGGCCATTAATTGATTCCTGATGATATCGTAGGAAATCCTTACACACGCCCCCGTAATATCGCTTAGCGATTCGGCCCGGAAACACACCTCCGAAGAGGGGCACAACCCCCTTAAAATCTCGGGCCACTCGGCCCGGTTATGGTTAAACCCCGGTTATACTGGAATAACCATTTAATACGTAGTTTATTAGTAAATCTGATATCTATACCTCTACAATAGTCACTTTATAGCTATCATAAGGCTCGCAAGCTGCACTAGCAGAAGCGGAGGGCGCCTCCGTTAGTGCATGCTATGCTAGTTAGATCTCCCAATCACAATAGCGATATAAAAAGCCTCGCAAAGGTTATCGTTATAGGCCTGATTTACTATATTAATTCAAAACCGCCTTGTCGTTCCCCATCAACCTTGAACTTTACATGCTTCACTCCATTTCTCGGCCTGGCGTCTCTCAGCTCTGAACCGTCACCTACGAAGCACCCAAGACATCGCAATGGCCTCCAAGGTTGCAGTTAGTACCGACAAGGCTCCCAAGCCTCTCCCTGGCATTTACAGCCAGGCCATCAAGGCCAATGGCATGGTCTTCGTCTCTGGCGCTGTTGCCATGGACCCCGAGACTGGCAAGATCGTTGACGGCGACGTCCAGGCTCACACTGTAAGTTTGTCGACAAGTCTCATCTCATCAGCACATGTTGCGGAAGGCTACGATGCTAACGAGTCCACTAGCACCAATGCATCAAGAACCTCTCTGCCGTCCTCGAAGCCGCTGGCTCCAGCCTCGAAAAGGTCGTCAAGGTCAACGTCTTCCTCGCCAACATGGATGACTTTGCCAAAATGAACGAGGTCTACACCACCTACTGGGGCGATGTGAAGCCTTGCCGAACGTGAGTCTTTTCTGTCTAGATTGTTGCCCCTCGCAATTGCTGTGCGCCTTTTGTCTGTCAAAATTACCCCTCAGTGCCCTCCCTCGTTTCGTCGTAATATCGATGGATGGTTCCGCTTGGCGAGACCCACTGAAATCGTCATGTCATGCCAAGGGCGCGCATCAAAAACACGATTCGTGCACAACAGCGTGTGGCGGTGTGCGAGTGCGTCCGAGTAATTAATACTGACAGATGGATGAACAGATGCGTTGCCGTCAAGACCCTGCCTCGCGACACCGATGTCGAGATTGAATGCACGGCCGTGTTGTAAAGGAGAGCGTATCGGGGAACAAGACAAAATTGGGCAGCGAGACATGGAACCAAGACTAGACGAAAATAGAACCGTGCCGCATGAATAAATTGCCCAGAAGACATCAACTTTGGCGGTTCCAAATTCATCGTGGAAAATCACCGCAACTGTATGTACTCGATGCTGCTCCTCGTGATGCAATGTGATGGTTTGAGGTCGGCATAGTCAGCTCAAGCATGCCCGCCCCCGGGTCAGATTAGAGCTTGAATCTGCAGCAATGGTGATTCCAGTAAATCTCAGGTCCAGGTGGTGCTACGAGTGGCAGAATTAAATTAGGTCTGGTACTATTAACGAAGCACATGGTTAGCATATGCTACGGCTTATAGTGTGAATTAGTGACATGGGGTCAGAACTTCCTTGGAAGCCATGTTTACTATCAAGAGAATATGGACCAGTTGACTGCTCTTATGCTGTTGTGTAACCTCACGTCGTACGACATGCCTACCTACCTAGGTAGGTAATCCCCCAAGTACCTAGGTAGGCAACAAATATCATCGGGTAACGTTCCAATAGCAGCGTCCGAAATCCGATGAAGCGCACATTGAGCCTGGATTTCGACAATATTGTCTGCATTTGAGCAGCTAGGTAGGTACCTAGGTAGGTAGGCATGTAAGCCATCATTTCATAAGGGTGTCCTGGTCCCGACTCCCCTCACTGCTACCAGGCGGGCTAGTGTGGGGGTCCCATCACGGTCCAGGACTCCAGTGTCCCATGTCCCGTGCGTGCCCTTCAATTACCAAGTTCTGCCCGGCAATTCAATTTATCAAAAAAACCACAACATTCTAGAATTCTTCTCCACTCCTTAATTGACCTTTTACCAACCCCTACACCTAACCCAGATATCGACAATCTCATCTTCCTTGCCAGCCTCGTCTTCGTCCACGACAAAGTACCAGCCAAAGTGGCTGCTGGTGATGCAAGCGTGGTTGGGCCAGAGCCGGACCTTGTCGCCAACCCCGGGGAGCTCCTGGTCTGGCTGGACAGGCTCCGACTTGGCACTTCCCGACCTCCATGTGAGAATACCGTGCTCCTGGGAGAAACGACCAACCATCCAGCCTCGGAAGTCCTCCACGTTGCAAGTTGGCAAGTCAATGCCCTTTCGACCCCATGGACTGAGCATTGCCATGCCCTCATACGCCTTGCAAGACTCTCTAGCCAGCGCGATGCCCCCCGCGCCGATTAGAGCCTCGGGTGTTCCGTTGGCCCCCCGCCCAGGGTAATTGCTATGCACTTCTGCCAGGACCGTCAGGGCCATGTCTCCCCAGGACAGTCTCGAGGCAGAAATGCTGTGAGCTGCCAGCTGTTGCAGGTCCAGGATTGGATAGACGCCGGCATGGATCTCAACAAGATGCCCCTTACTCCTGACACTGGCAAACAGGTCTGAAAGCGCTTCAACTTCCGACTTGAGTTGGATAGGGACATTGTCTTGCCCTTCTTCAGCCGTCGTGATCAAGTTTTGAACAGCCAAGGCTGTCGGTGATGCCCCAGCAGACAAAACCAAGGGGGGCAAGCCTGCAATCGACCTTTCAGCGGCTCGCGACGTCAGCCGGTCAGCTCCCTCAAGCATGGCACTGAGTTCTGCCCTCATCATCTTGATGGCTGCCGCACGGCTATCGCCCCCGTACGACTGCCCGGCATGGGAGTATAGGCCGGAAAGCCTAATCTTGCCTTGGCCATGTGCCTCTAATGCCGCATCGGCGAGTTCTAGGAAGCGTGTGCTTTGCGCCTCCACGCCCGCTCGTCTGCCCCCCATGTCGATTTTGATGTGGGCATGAGGAACCACGCCGGACAGGCTTTGGAATTTAGAAACGATGGGAATTTGCGCGGGATCGTCGAGAAGAACGGACACACTGCCTTCCCCTAGGGCCTGAGCAACTGCTGCCAAGCGCGACAGGGCATTCTGAGGGATTGGAAGCCCGTATAGAACCTGCCAGGGCCAAGAGTCAGTAAGGAAAGGGACTTCATCTTGCTATCAACTTGGTCCATACGTTTACTTTTCTTCCCTGGCTTTGATACTCCTTCAGCCTGGGCAGAAGAAACTCGGCCTCGGCCAAGGTGGACACAATGAGATTGACAGGCCTTGTCGCATCGTTTCCAACTTGCAATTCGGTTATTTCAATCGTCTGTCCACCTTCAAGTCAGCTTGTCAAGTTTGTGATGGTTCAATTCCAACTATCCTTGTCACCTTGTGCGTTTTTACGTGAGCTCTCCAATCGAGGCCGAGCTTGACACAGGTGTGAAGCATGCGCTCACAGTTTCGCCTCACAGCCGCAGCATTGATCACAGCCGCAGGAGTCGGCACGTCGCGAATTGACTTGCCGATAAATTGCGCCAATATATGCTTCGGCGAGGTGGGGTAAAGCTCAATTGATGACATTTTGACACCCAACTCTTCATCAAGGCAGATGAGAGGTCGAAATTTTGCGACGACGTCAAGGACAGGCAGGCACTTGTCTATCTTTACATTAGTCTTTTTGAGCCTGGAAAGATATGACTCCAAAGTGCCGCGGCAAAATCGGGTCTGCGAGAACAAGAAGATGAATGAAAAAAAGGCTCGGAAGAAAGTAACCCGACCCGTTCCTGTTCGTTTATGTCGCGTGTCCTTCCCAAGTGCCGCATCCCGTGCTTGGCGGCATTTGAATTGCCCCGCCACGCAGGCTGAACTCCGCACATGGGAACGAAGAGTTGAAGGAAGAGCTGCACAAATAGTTAAGTTATCTGGGGTTCTTGCTGATGTGGGGGTCACTGGTGATCAGTGACGTCTAGATTGGAGCCCCCACAGAGCTGATATCAAAACGACTAATCACTTCCACCGGACCTCAGAATTGAGACACCCTATCGCCCCCCACGGACTGGGTACGGTGCTAGTGATGCGACATTGAACGCGGCGAGCCGAGATGAATTGCCTCAGCTTCATTAGGGGACCAGACAGGATACAGTAGCTGGAATACTGCTTCGGCCCCTGGACTAGGATTAGACTGCATAGCCCTTTGAAAAAAATGCGCTATATCTCGGAACGCGAGATGCTCTGTACACTACGTCCGATGCCAAAGTGAGCCCTTGACATAGGTGTAAGCAAAGCTCCCAGCCGGAGGTCCCCATACTAGTAGGGCCAGATTTAGACCCCCTGGGCTGTTGCTGCTATTAGATTCGGGCCTTTCGAAGCTGTTAAATGCGAGCCCCTCAGGCTTCTGTTGCTGAATTTGAAGCTTTCTGGCCGGGTTGGTTGCTCCAAGAAGGTTAGGTACAGCTTTTGAACTTCCCAGAGCTTCTTTTTACTTCTCCGGGGGAAACTCCAATCGGCAAACGTGGGGATTTGTACCATGCAGCCTGTTCGTGGATAAAAAGCCGGCAACAGCTCCCAGTCCAGGGACAATCCCTCCATAGCTTTGTCATGTATTCGATAGGCCATTCACATGGCGACTAATTTTCAGTAGCAGTCATGTCGCTTCCTAATGACTCGCTCGTGTCCCCTCCCCGCAACCCTACATAAAGGCAAGGCTTGCAGTGAGGAAAAGTGGTAGCAAATGCTACCGGATGCAAGCCAAATGTCCTTGGCTTGCGGGGTTGACATCTGCAGCCGCGGAAAGCACGTAAACGTGTTCATTCGAGCGGAAACAGGAGAGTTCATCTATTCAGCATCAAAGTCAGTACATGCCAGCCATCGGCGGTTTCGTCGGTGCAAAAATCCAGAGACATGTCACTATCCACGTTAGTAAACCATAACAAGACAGCGGCCAAAAATGAATAAATTTCAGCCCATGAACAAGGGTTGTCCAAAGTCATAACCCGCAAGACCGGGTAGCCAGTCAAGCACAGCCAAGTCGGCGCTACTCGTCGCATCGTTATAATACATGATCCGGTTCTATTCGCTATTCCGCCATATATGCGCCCCATCCCTTGCGGGGGGCTTAAAGTATGTTCGCAAAGTGCGTCATGATGTTCCCGAACGCCGATTCAAACTGTATCTTGCGTATCGTATGATGCTAATAATTTTTTTCTCTTTTCAGTCAGAACAAGGGCCAATATTCTGTTCATGTACATGTTTTATGTATTCTCGTTGGAGGCGGAAGGAGGAATAGTCTCCCTTTAAAATCGCTTCGAGAATACCACCCTTCTCGGGGTTGAGCGCAATCTCCTTCATTCGGTCTCGCAAGGTATAGTATGCATCCGCAAAGCGCGCCACTATCGAGTTGGTATTCGATGATCCACCGGAGATATCGTTGCTAGAATTATTAGGATCAATGATGGACAACCGATCTCGATTCTTGTATGTCAAGGTCGCAACATCAGACTAAGGCGCAAGTTAGCAACCGTAGCAAAGTTCTGAGCATAACCCCCAAGCCACGGTGGTTTTTTTTGGACACTGGGGTAAAGTACACCTAGTACTCACCTTTCGAATATACCCAACTGGTTTCGTAAGCGATATCGCATTCGTCTCGTATTGGAACTGGCGACCGTAGAGCTCAAAAAACTCAAGCAGCATTTCTCCCAGATGGTGTTCCGGAATCAGGCTCCTGCTTTGAACATGAGGCATCATCTGTAGCATGCTCACAACCAGGCAAATGACTGAAAACCCGCCTATTCCTCCATTGACCGGCTCATTCAGACCACGCATTAAAAGAAAATGCTTGATGACAGTGACGAGTATAGGCATGGCAGGATATTGCTTCTTCCAGGACAGGAAAGTATCAACAGCTGTTACGCCACCCAAATTCTCAAACGAGACATCCACCTTCAGTCCCGTGAGCTTGTCTACAAACTTCACCAGTGGTATTCGAGCATGTGCAATGACCTCAATAGAATCACTGTCTGCGACCTTTTGCATGACAAGAAACTTTTGAAACTTATACAACCAGCTCTTGGCACCGAGATAAGTCGGCGGCCCGCCGCGCATGTAGCTAGCTGAACAAACAACAAGGTCCATATCCGCTGTGGGGAGATACAGGCCGGACATGAAAGAGCCGAAAGGGTGCACTTGTGCAGAGGCAAAGTTTCGTCGATCTCGTCTCATAGCTTTGCAGAGATTTTCGACAAGATTATCCCGCATTCTCTGTTCAAATGCTCTTGGACGCACATAATCGTAGAAGTCGAGGATTTCCTTGTGTAACCTGGTTGGAATGGTCAGCTCCGTTTGCCAATACACGGCTAGGATCGAAATTGCCTCACGCACCGGAACGCCATGTTATGTGTAGCGGAATGGTCTTTCGTTTGCCACGGGCAGGGATCCTCGTTCCTCTTTGGGAGCCACGTTGGTGTGACGCTACCTTTTGAAGGCTTCATACTAGCTTTCTTGAGCTGTCCATAGTCTGGGGGCTTGATTTCATCATCTGCAGTTCGCTTCCGAGATCCAAGCGGACCTGAGTGATCCGGGACCGGAAGGCCATTCCGCCCGTTTCTGTCATCAGAGTGCTTGTGGTTAAATGAAGCTGGGACGGGAGGGGGTAAGGGTGGCGGAAGCTCGGAGGGCGGAGGCGGGATCTCTACCACGCCGTCGTCACTGTCATCTTCCTCCTCTTCTTCATCCTCAGTAGTGTCGAATGATAGGAAGTCTTCAGCTTCGGTTGGTACCTTGGCCTTGGCGGCACCCTCCACCCTGGCTTTTCGGATTAGTTTGACAACATCACGTTTTTTGCGCATCGAGTCATCTGGACAAGGCATGGCCGTATAGGGATCCGGGTTGGACCACTTGGGGACCGAGTTCGCTTCTTCGGATGCGTCATCCGTGCGCAGGCGTTTCCTTGACGGTCCTTCTGAATCCGATGCTGAAGAAATGTCCATTTCCAGTTCATCATCGTCTGATAGCTCGTCTAAGTCGCGGAATTTGGCTCCGCCTTCCCCATCGTCAACACGCTCTTCGGGGACATTGAAGGTTGCGCCGGAAATGAGAGCTCGCTCGGAGGGGTGAGGCGGCGGTTGCCAGCGCCTACCGGGTTTCCTCATAGGGCCGCGTCGATCTCGTCGTGGCCCTTTATTATTATACTGGTGACCGTTGGGTGGAAGGTCCGGTATACCCGCAGGTTTGTTGAACCTGAAAGTGAAGTCTCCTTGTGGCACGGACGGCCGGTAAGAATCCGACGAACGATAGTCATCGCCTCGGTGATTATATTGTCCATTACGATCGTCTCGCTCGCTCATTCCCGGCCTCCATGTATCGGAACGTGGAGGCGGTCTGTCGTAAGAACTTGGAGACGGCGCGTGTCGAGAAGACTGGCGACGGATTACGTCTCGAGGACGGCTCCTGTCGTCGTTGCGCCTCGCTCTCTTATTTCTCATGCTGTCTTTATTTTCCAGCCGGCGATGAAGGGTTTACGCTGCAAAATGTGTGCAGCTGAGGCTGACGGTTAGCAAGGCCAGGTTCATTGAAGGCCTGAATCAATCTGGTGCTTGTCGCAAGGTTTGATGGAAAATGTGCGCTGCGATAAAAACGGTCTGGTAATTTTAGTGGGGCATTTTGGCGCGCCTGTGGCTGCCCAATGACTAAGACAATGTCGCCAATCGCACTAGATTAGTCTCAGCATCAGCGAGGTCTCCACCAAACTTTTTTTTCAGGCTGTTGACACGATTCCAGCCAGCAGCATCAAGGTTGACACTGAGTCTGGTGCATGCGTGGCGAGCAGTACTCGTGGTTCCCTGATATGACCGTGATCCAGCATGAACGAATACCCCCAGGTTCGGGTAGGTCTGAGCCGCATCTACCTTGTCAATAACTTGTGTATCAAAATCGTGGTACATGCGTCCGTCTCTAAATATGTCTGGTATTTCCAAATCACTTGATTCCCGGAGTCACCACTAATGGTTTCAAATTTTACATCTCCCGCTTGCCAGGGAGAGGATATCGTTTGGAGCGTGAACGCCCTGCAACTGGGCTGAGCCACAGCCTCGTTATGGCAGCTCTGCGCCGCCCGGCTGACATGGAGGTCGTATTAGACTCAAGTTGTTAGTAGCTGCACTGACCATTCAGAATTTCAGAGGTCCGCCAGCGCCACCACTCCAAATGTCACTCAAATCGAACATCGCGAGTTGCCGACGTCAGCAGAGACTACATCGTTGCTCATCGAAACCCCAAAAACATCGACTTTTTTTTTCGTTTTAAATCAAAATAAGAGTTAACCTGGCGCTTCAACGAGGCAAGATCCCCGGAGTCCCATTTGATCATCATTTCTGCTCCGGAATCCTCACAGACAACCCGCCAGAGTCTGGGGAACATACGAAACAATGGGTCACACATCAGAACCAGACAGCGGGATGAAAAGGGCTGCTGAGGTGTCGGAGGCCATGTTATCGGTACCAGGATATGCGGATGACTCCATGTTCTTTACTATCCGCTACGGACACAAAGCAAAGGTAGTACTTTGTAATCCCACCGCGAATCCCGTCAAGAGGGGGCAATCACCAGCTGTCTATAACAGCCTAGGGACTGCTAGATCGCAATGGCATTGACGACATCTTTAGGAGACCCTGAGGAAGTGCGATTATGACGAGTTGATGGAAACCCTGCACAAAATGACAGCGTTATGGTCAAAGAGTGGAGGAGGCGGTGCCAAGCCTGAGCCTGGTGCAGAGGAACGATATGCCCAAATCATGGAGCTGAGAAGGCATTGCTTGGAAATTATCAAGGACTTCCCCGACCTCGTCCGAGACTTTGACCAATTCCATGCCAGCTCCAAGGCTGCCATGTCGGCAGTCATGCGATCCAACACTTAGGTGATTTCGCACCACGTTGCGTATGGTAGGATTCATGCCACTTTGACATTGAGCGATTCATTGATGGCTACTTGAGAATGTCCAAGATAGGATTTGTATTATTAAAGATTCAGGGTAGACTGTCGAAGTCTGTTATTTCCCATCAAGTTCCAGTGCAGCTTGTCACTGCGATATTATAAAAACATAGTCTACCCAAGTTATCGTCTAGTCCAATGTCACACCGAACGCCGCCCAAGTCGCAAAAACCCGAAACCCCCAGTTTGCTCTTATAGCATCAACGAAGCTACGACCACGACAATACCCATGGCCAACCATGAGTTTTGCGTGGTGGTCAACGCAGCGCCGGCGGTAGGCCCCGTGGTATGGGAAGAAGTCGGAACAGGAGGACGTCCGGTGCCTCCAGTGCCGCCAGTGCCGCCAGTGCCAGTAGGCAGGATGCCGCTGGAGTTGGCCGAAGGAACTGGTGATCCCGAGGCGGTTGAAAGAATTGGATAAGGAACTGATGTGCCAGGGACGGTCACTGCGGTCCCGCTGTCCTCGGGAACAGTGTTTTGAGTAAACAGAGGCGGCGAGACAACAGTAGAGGTTACCTGAGGCTCAGAGTTGTCACCCGTGGTCTGAAGCTCAGTGGTGATCTGAGGCTCAGTGTTAATGGATGAGGCCTGAGTGAAGGCAGAAGCTGCCAAAAAGACAGACAAGGTAGGGGTGGTTCGCATGTTCACGGTTTTAAGGTGAAGTCGTTCCAAGGCTTTGGAAGCTGTCTGATGCTTTGCTTGCGCGTATAAGTCCAGGCAAAACCACAAATGAGTCTGGTGCTTTTGCTTGAGATAAACGGATATAGCTATGAGAGAAAGGCCACTCCAGCTCGAGTAGTGCAAGGCCTTTTCTTATAGCCGACACCGGGAACAGCGGCCAACCCAAGAGGTTGGTGAGCAGATTTGCACAGTTGCGGCTCATGGCAGCGAGCACACGTCACCCCACCATTACAGATATTTTCGTGTCGCTATTCTTAGATAGGCAATGGGCAATGAGCAATCGGACGTTGGTGTTGCCACTGGAGGCTGTGGTGTGCCTTGGTGGGTACCGCTGGTGTTGCGTAATCGGCCGTTAGGCCAACTGGTAGCCACAATGAGTGGCGCACCGCCACAATTGCGGCTGTTTCTGCGCCGGGAGGCCGCTGAACCGCTAGAGCTGGCGGAAGACGCTAGAAGTCTTGCCCTGGCGTTGGTAACTCTAGTAGTCAAGGAATGCCAAGTCTGGTCCTCTCTAATCTACTTAATTCCCTAAAAATCAAATTTCGAGTGGTGCATTCCCTGAAAGTTCTTGGAATTATTTGCTATTGACTGAACCTCGGAGCGCGCATCACAATGGCTGTGCTCGAATATCTGAGGTTGGTATTTCTCACACTGCGGCTTATCCGGCACTTTGATGCGTAAACAGATGCACATCGATCGGTACGTCATCAGCAGACTTAGCCATCCCCAGCCTCTCTCGCAACCCGTCAAAGATTGCATCCGACGGTCTTGATTGGGTTGAGAATCGGATTGTACCAAGTAACTGAGACTTGGCTGAAATCTGCCGTCGTCAACCGGTGACAGGTGGGCTTATTGTATTTTTGGAGCAGCCGACTTCGTCGATACGCGCAGAACCAGCCTCTTGGCGACGTCAAGCTTATCCTGCCTTCCTTCACGTATTTTCAGCCATGTTCAGCTGAGTGGGCAGTAATCCGTTTCATGTGAAGGACATGGCTCTCCAAATTCAGCGCTCTCATCAAGGTTGGCCAGGGCTCTCTCGTGACGCTCACTCTCATATCAACGGGCCTATTTTGCTGCTGTTACTCGCAACCAGTCACGCCACAGCTGAGGGCTCACTGCCTCTCCGCCATGACTTGCAAACGCATGTTGCCGCATCTGACCACTGTGAAGCCAAGTGTCCAAAATAGTACTCAGTAAATCGCTATGCATCGATGTGATGAATGTCCGCAACGACGAATTCGGCCCATGTACAACGCATAATGATGATCATGCCCCAATGTCGCCGCCCCAAATAGCTTCATATACGTAGTAATTGGTGCAATTACTAGAAATTGCCAGTGTGTGTATTCCGTACGACTTATTTGGACAACCATCTGGTCCTCTCTTTTGCACTCTATCACTCAATTGGTGTTTTTGATGGGGCCGCAACGCCAGCGCTGATTGGTGTTCTCGAGTTCATTTTCCACCTTAAATCCAAGGCACCCCTCACCCCTGAACCCCGACCTGAGGCTTGGGAAACATCGAAGCCACATGTGCACGCTAGGCGAAACGCAGGGCACAAGCTGTCCTGACAAGCTACTGGTCAGCACTGGCCAGCTTGCCCGATCGCAGCAACCACCAAGCATCTAATACGACCAAAACTCCCTCATCGAATTGCCCTTCCATCGCCGCCCGGGTTCCATATATCCCCCACGACATCGTCCTATTGTCGACCTCCACCATGTCCAACTACTACGGCGGGCAGCCGAATAACCCGCAATACGGCGCGCCAGGAGCAGGCGGTGGCGCTCAAAACCTTCAGTTCTATCCATCATCATACTCGCCCGCCGTGTCGGGTGCTGCAACTCCTCAACAGGCATCATATGGCTATGGCGCCGGCGCATCCGGGAGCTTCGGGTCCGGCGCTCAAGCTAGCTTCGCGTCGGCTGGCTTCGGCGGCCCGGGTGTATCAGGTCGAATGGGCGAGCATGGTGGCCTGCGGACCGGATGGCTGGCCGCTTTCTCGACAGAGGGATACGATGGCGAGCCCCCTCTGCTGGAGGAACTGGGAGTCAATTTTGGGCATATACAGATGAAGGTACGTCGCGGGCAGCCAGGCGGCTTTCAGGGTTGCTGCTGACAAGTGTTTCCAGACGCTAGCGGTCTTGAACCCCTTTCGACACATTGACCAGCACATCATGGACGATTCTGATCTTGCCGGACCGATCCTCTTTTTCCTTTTGTTTGGCACCATTCTGCTGCTCTCTGGCAAGGTGCACTTTGGATATATTTACGGCCTGGCGCTGCTTGGGTCAACGTCTCTACACATGATTTTGTCGCTCATGTCGCCGACCGAACCACCGTCATCCGAGTCATATCACCCTCAGTACAATGACCCGTCATCCCCCCCTCAACACCAGCAGGGCGGCCACTTCTCTGCAACCCTCACCTTTCCCAGGTCAGCGTCAGTGTTGGGGTATTGCCTTCTCCCGCTCGTCGTTACTAGTCTTTTCGGAATCGTCATGCCGATGGACACGCCTCTCGGCATAGTTTTGAGTACTGCCGCCATCATGTGGTGTACGTACAGCGCCAGCGGTATGTTCTGTGCTGTTGGAAGAATGAGGGGCATGAGGGGTCTGGTTGCGTATCCCCTGGCCCTGTTCTACGTCGGTTTCGGCATCATGGGCATTTTCAGCAGCAGAGGCAGTGGGTCGTTCGCCAATGCAGCTGCTAAAATAAACACTTGAAAAAGGGAAACACGTGGCAGGCACATTTTGCCTGATACGGACGGAGTCATATTGGGTGTGGCGGACCAAAATTAAGGGCTGGGTTGGGAACGTCGGCTGGGCAGAATCTCATTTTTCATGGTTGGAATTAGCAAGCATTTATCAATGCCATGGGAGGGGAGTTGTATTATACTGCGTGGTGCGGCCCTGATTATGATAACGACAGTGTCAGAAGGATAGGGGTATGATGGTTCAAGGTCTGGTATATAAACATACTAAGCAAGGACAAGATAATTTATCAAAGCATACAAGCATTGTGTCCCTTGAGGTATTCAATAGTAGTGTGTATTATAACCAATATGCCGCATAAGGGGCTAAACATTAGGTTCTAATCATGTAGCATAATAAAGGGTTTTGGTCACAGCAAGGTGTTTGCTTGTCTTGTGACGTGGCTTCGAATATTGTAGTAATTAGCGTATACTAATGAAATATACGTTGCGACACACTGTGTATATATTGCGAAGGGGCCTTGATTGAACCATCTAGTCGCATCGCAGCACCATACACCGGGGCACGACGATGACAAGGCGAAAAAACACAGTATATATCTAACATGGAATATCACAAAGTGCACAAGAGTAGTATCTTATTATCGTGTTTTTCTATCGTGTACAACAGTTCTCTCGAACGATTAAAAGACACCTTTCTATACCCTATGCAAAGTCTGTCTTCAGTTCGTCCTTCTCCCCCCGTGCCTCAGACCGAAACGCCATGTGACCAGCCGCTAGTTTATCCTTGGCGAATGCAAAATGAAAAAAAAAAGGTACAGTGGATATCATCAAAGTTGGTGGTGGCCATGCAAACGTTTACTTTCGTGTGGTAAAGTCAATTTCAAGCGCTGGGTTGAAGCCACCGTCGCGGGCCTTTTCGCAAGTACATCCATCTAGAGCAAAGTCAGCATATATTCAATCCATAGATTATTGTTATTTTTCCCCGTTTCTTTTCCAATTGGGAGAGAGCAGTACCGGCTGGTCTTGAGCCACAGGCGCACGTTGCACCAGAAATAGCAGCGTTCTCGGTAGATGCCCGATCGCAAGTGCAATCACCGGCAGGTCTGGCTCGGCAGGAGCATCGAGGCCCCTCAACCTTGTTCTCTGATGAGGCCCTGTCGCAGGTGCAGTGGAGGGCTGATTGCTTGCCGCAAGAGCAGGTAGCTTTCTGGGCTGGATTGCATCGTGTTAGTCCCCATTGCACTGGTGATGCATATTCACGAGGTACTTGACGACTTACCACAGGCGCAGACGGCACCGTCCTTGGCGCAGCAGGTGGAAGCCTTGGTGACAGTCATGTTGATTCAGGGTAAAGGTAAAGAATCGAAGTTGTTTGGATAATGACCGGTTTCCACAGCTTGATGTAGTTGGGATTGTTTTGGTATGAAGGTTGTCCAGTTCCATGAACGAAGCCAAAAGACGGTCTCGAGTGCTCCTTTATAGATTCAGTAGAGCAGTGATGTCAGTGAGTGGTACGATCCGACTTGACGGGACGGTCATCATAATAGATGGGCCCTGATTGGCTGCTTACCAGTCGATTGGGTAAGCCGGCCAATCAGAGTAGGTGTATTTACAAGCATCTGGTGAGCAATCGGCAATGCCGCCACGTTAGCTTGGACTGAAGTGGATCAATTAGGCTCGTTCCTGCTTCTGGCACGGCAAGGCGCAGATGCATCTCAGCATTACATTCGTCGTGGCCGGGTTTGCAAGGCAAGAAGTTCCACGGAAGGGTCAACAGGAAACGCGAGCGACAATAGTGGCTGGGAGTGGTTGAATTCGCATTGGGCGTGCCCTACAGGTAGTACACCATCCCTGGTCACTTGGTAGGATCCTTCACGCTTCGAAATTTGAATTCGGGCACATCTCGCTTGCAGTTTGCTCCAGATACGAGCTGCCTAGGTTATATCGTCTGTCACATCGAGGCCTTCATGGGCATCAGGATTCAGCACGAGTTTTGAGCAGAAGCCATGCCAGTTAGCCAATCAGAGCAAGTTTTATGCTTGGTTCTTGTCTGACCGAGTAAACGCTCTTCGGGCTGAAGAATTGCCTATTCTACTTAAGGGTAAGGACAGGAGGAGAGAAAGCGCGCGACAACTCGGGTGAGATGAATTCAAGTTGCACACACCTAATAGCGGCCGCTATAGCTGTGACGGCAAAAACTAAAGAGAATAATAGGATTCTTCATGGCTTTCGTAAAAGAGGATGGGACATGATGATACTAGAGCAGGACGCCCACAGCATCGGGTCGGAGTTGTTACTATTCGTCTACAACTTGGCTCATCTGAGGCTTTATCTAGGGGGACCGATGCCAAGCACCTACTCAATTCAAACTATAAATTGTCAGAGCCGAAATGGTCCATGACCATAGGATACCCGTTATGATTGGGTATGTGTTAAATGACCAAGACATGTTTGCCCGGGTTAGTATGCCTGGCTGTCACGTAAAGAAGCAGGATGCTAACACACCTTGCTGTCCCCAGACGGCTCATCAATCCCTTTGACTGCGTTAAGGTGCGTTGGATGTATCGAAGTGGGGTTCTAGCTAATAAGAAGCCTTATATTTAAAGGTACATTATATAACTAGGAAATAATAGGATAATAAGAGTACCTATTAATTAAGGTATAGTTAAAGTTACTTTATTTAATTTAATTTAAGAAGGCTCAAGTCTATCTTAAGGTAGCTGGGATGTACTGAGCAATAGTGGGGCCTATACATCCAACGCACCTTAACTCAGTCAAAGGGATCCGTACAGTCCTTTCCCCGCGTTAAACCACCCTTGTCTAGTTCCGAACACTCAATTCGGTGGAGCAGACGACCCTGGTACACAGGTAACTATACCATCTTTGTATTGATGGCGTGCCGTCAGAGGCAGCAAGAGGCTGATGGCGAATAGCCGTCTGGACTTTATTCTCCCGGTCCGATGAAGACTATCCCGTAACAGCGAATCGAAAAGCCTTGTTCTACAGCCATGTCTTGTCGGAACTCCATCCGAACCTCCAGCCAAACTACCAATATGAAGCCTTATTTGGACCCTAACCGTTGGAGCGGAGCGTGGCGAGATTGCAACAAATAGGTGAGTTTCCCGCTGCATTGGCAGATGCAATTACGAAACGGCTTACACAAAAGCTTTTCGCTAGAAAACGGCGTCTATGGTGAATGGTTCTAATGCATAAAGTAGATATGGGGAATCACTGATTCAGTTTAACCCAGCTGCTACAAGGAGGCTTCGACTAAAGATTAATTTATATATTATTCCAACCGTTGCCGTCCTGTACCTCTTTTGCTTCATTAATCGAACAAATATGGGTATGCGTTTGCACATCGATTGTTTGCAAAAAGACATCAGTGACAAAGCAACAATTATGATGCTGGAGTCAAGGGTTCTACTGCAGCAAGATTGAATGAAAATTTAGGGTTGACAATCGGGCAAAAGATGCTGATTTTGTTTTATAGGCAACGCAAAAATTGCAGGGCTAGAGGCCGAACTCGTATTTACAGGTTACAACTACAACGAAATCATATCAATGTTCTATCTCTCGTATGTTCTTTTTGAATTCCCGCCAATCTTCTCTGCAAATACATGGGGCCAGGGTGGTTTCTTCCGCTTGCGACGGTGCTGTTCGGTATAGCTTCACTTGCCACGGCATATGTCCACAGCTGCGCCCAAATGGCAGGCGTGCGATTCCTCCTGGGTGTCTTTGAAGCCGGCATGCTGCCAGGCTGCGCATATTATCCGTCAAGATTCCATTCCGCTCGGCACTTTACATCGTCACGACACCCCTTGCCGGCGCGTTTGGCGGGCTTCTTGCCTCGGCGATCCTGAAGCTGGACAGCTTTGGCAACTTGCACAGGTGGCGCATGATATTTGCTATTGAGGGCATCATCACCATTGGTCTGGGCCGCGTTGCGCTTTTCACCGTCACGGACCGACCGGAGACGGCACGCTGGCTTACACCGGACGAGACAGAGATGGCTACGGCTCGTGTCAAGTCGGAACGAGTTGGCCAGACGGTCGTGTTGGATAGAATTGAAACGAAGAAGCTCGTTCGCGGAATCTTCAGCCCCGTTACCCTCAGCACATGACTCATCTTTCTTCTCACCAATATGACTGTACAAAGCTTCGCCTTCTCTCTCCCGACTATGGTCAGGACAATTTACGGATCAAAGAGTACCATTCAGCAGCGGTTGCTAACCGCGCCGCCGTATCTCGGA